AGAAGACGTATCTGACTTTGATTGCTATGAGGCAGGGGGAGAAGGAGTCACTGCGCAAGTATGTGGCTCGATATAATCAAACTTGTTTGGAGATCCCCACGGCTGTTGATGAAGTGAAGGCTGGAGGGTTGATAAGGAGTTTACGAGCAGGGCCCTGTCGAACGTCGCTGGCCAAAAACCCTGCGCGTACATATGATGAGGTGTTAAAGTGGTGCAAGAAGTACATTAATCTGGAGGAAACGGAGGCGGAGTTTGCTAAGTTGGAGGAGTTGGCCCGGTCAGAACCCAAGAAGGGGAGGGCAAACTCGCCTAAAAGGATATCACCAAGGAGGAGATCGCCAAGGAGAGAAAGGCGTGGTAGGGTCGATATAGGGCGTGAAGATAGGTGGAGCGATCGACCAGTCATAGCAGGAAAGCGATTTCACAATTTTATGTCGTTGAACGCAAAGATGAGAGAGGTGTTGGTGGCCATTGAAAAGAAGATAGATGAAAAGGATGTGACGTGGCCTAAGTCGAGGCATGAAGGACCGACATAGCCCAGGTCGAGGAGGTACTGCCGTTTTCATAAGGATTACGGGCATACGATGGAGAAGTGCAGACATCTCAAAGATGAGATAGAGCGCCTCATTAGAGCGGGGCATCTCAAGGAGTTTGTGTTCGTGGACAAAGTGAAGGGAAAGGACAAGGGGAAATGTCGAGAAGATTCGGTGGAGAGGAGCGATCGAGACGATGATGAGGAAGATGAGCCTCGAGGAGGGAGAGGTGATCGAGGAGGCATTGGGGGTAAAAGGAGACGAGGGAGCAGAGATCTAGGAGATCAGGAGGATCAGGGTCTCGTGAAGAGGGGAACGAAATACATGATTTCAGGAGGACCAACTGATGGAGACTCGAACAATGCGAGGAAGGGACATGTTCGAGCAATAAAGAGGAAGAGAGAGGAGGTGGGGATCACTACTCGAATGCCAGAGATAAGTTTTCGGGCAGAGGATGCTGAAGGAGTGGTGTTGCCCCACAATGATGCATTGGTGATCACGGCAGAGGTGGCAGGCTTTGATGTGAAGAGGGTGTTCATTGATACTGGAGTTCGGTAGATGTAATGTTTTATGATTGTTTTGTGCAGATAAACAAGGAGCTCAATCTCGAGCTGAAGCTGGTGATCACAGCCTTGTATGGGTTCAATGGAGTCGAGGTGATGCCAATGGGAGAGGTAAGTCTATCTGTCGCCTTGGGGAAAGGAGAGACAAGAAAGGTGAGGATGGTTAGGTTCGTGGTCGTAGGAGCAGAATCCTCGTACATCATCATCATGGGGAGGACCAGTTTGAATGCATTCCAGGCGGTCGTGTCAACGTACCATATGACGATCAAGTATCCAGTGGGCGAAAACGTTGGTGAGGTCGTAGGAGATCAGCTCACTTCAAGGAGCTGTTACCAAACCACGGTGAGCAACAACAGACAGCTTGCGAAGAGGCAAGTGAAATCGGAGGAAGGAGCACTGAGTCGACCTGGGGGGTCGAGGTCGAAGGAGAAGCCGGATAAAGTGAAGGAGAAGGTGGAGATGCAACCAGGGGGGAGATCGAGGAGATCCAAATGGTGGAAGGTTTTGAGGAAAGGAAGTTTCGAATAGGGAAGGAGTTGGAGGAGCCCATAAAGTCGAAGTTGATTGGGTTGATAAGGGAGTTCGCTGATATTTTTGCGTATACTGCTGAGGGATTGACGGGGATAAAGGCGGAAGTAATTGAGCATAGGTTGAATATCGATCTCTCGGTAAGGCCGGTGAAACAGAAAAGGAGGCACCATGGAGCAGAGATGGACAAGGTGATCGAGTACATATTTTTCACTTACTGTATTTTAATATCTATATATATAAAGAGAACAAGCACTTATTAGATATAGTAACCAAATAATTTGGGAATATTTAATGCATATCTTCGTTAGAAACTTGTTGTTATCCGAGTTGAGCCACGAAGGACTAACGGGCCAGAAACAGGAAAACAAACGAAGGTGACCTCGAGACCGGGACGACATTTGAATAGCAGGAAAGTCCGAACTCGGCGGAGAACGAAGTTGTTAAGAATGGCGCGTAGAGCGCATTATTAGGTCGGCATTGTGGCGCCTGAAAGACGAGATCGACCTCCATGGACGTCGTGCCAGAAAAGAAGACTAGAAGACGAAGGTAACCCAACTCACGGTGGGAGTCCGACCTGAAGATTCGACGAGATCGACTCATGGCATGCACCCAGAGTTTGGAAATAATAAAATATTATCATTTGTCAAGTGATGATTCTTGACGAGATGCGCCACCCTAACTTGCGGCCTTATTGAACATAGGATTATAGGTCGGTCTGCCAGCATTAAATGTATCCTACGTGCGCATTTAATGCCTGGCAGATATTCATTGGATTAACCTCAGACCTCATTAAGTGCTCGTCAGAACGGCGCCGACCTGTCATTCCTAGTCATTGTACGAGGTGACAGGATGAATAATACCAGATTTATGTTATTATAAATAGGAAGCACCCTTCATTTCTTGTGGGTTGTTGAATCCTCTACCAACTTTCTCTCTCTCTCTCTCTCTACATTTACTTTGTACTTAGACCTGTCAAAACGGGCCGGCGGGGCGGGGCGGGCCGGCCCGTAGCCGCCAAAACCCACCTTTTGGCGGGGCGGAGTGGGCCTCTAAATGGCCAGCCCGGCCCACCCTCGCCACGGGCCGCGGACTAGGCGGGCTGACCCGCTAAAATTAAAAAGAAAAGAAAAAAATTAAAAGATTATATATATCACATGCCACACCCACACAGCCCAGCCCAATTGTACTCTTTTTCCAACCCTTTATTTTTTCCTCTTTTTTTAGCCCAGGCCCAGTCCACATTTTTTCTTTTCTCCCTCTTTGCTTTTTTCTCTTTACCAGCGCAGGCCCAAAACCCTCCATTCTTCTCTTCTTCTTTTTTTTTTTGTTTTTCTGTAATGGCGGGCTGGCCCGCAGCCCGCCCACCATGCCCCGCCAAAGCCCGCGGCCCGCGCGGGCCTATAAAATGCTAACCCAACCCGTCTGTTTCGCGGGGCGGGGCGGGCCGGTCCGCGAACCCAGGCCCGTTTTGACAAGTCTATCTGTACTAAACACAGTGATTAATCTCAAATGTAAGCAAGAAGCCGACCTCGATTTAAGAGGCCGACTTTGTAATTAAAGCAATAAAAGCTTATCCCTTTCCTAAATCTTTGCTTTTACTTGTTTTGCCCGTTCTTAAATCCTGTGTTAACCGTTGACCTATTCCGATCGTCAATAAAATTTTTAAAATATATGCATTAATTGCTTCCATATACTCAACTCCAAATCAGATCAAATTAGAAATGATAAAAAGATTCTTTCCTTGAATAATTTTATTAACATCTACAATAATTTCATTGATATTCATTATAATAGACTACAAATTTAATTTTCCGTAATTCATATTGATTATTTTTTTGTCAAGATAGGCGTGAAACATATTTTAAATTCTAAGCTTATTATTTTGTTAAAAAATATTGACTTTTCATCCTAAAATATTTATAAAAAATCGTAATAGGTTAAGTAAATTTTTTCTTCATCTTTATTTCATTATATACAAAAATAAATTATTTTTCAAATTAATATAATTCACCATTTTAGATATAATGACCAGTTACATTAAGTAATTTTACTAATGGTCATATAATGAAATTGAAATACATTAGGTAATCCTTAAAATTTCAGCATGTGATTATTTGTATATTATTTTAATCATGATTTTTCTTATCATTTTTTTATTTTGATTTCTTCCCATAGTGATATTCTTCTTAAATCTATTTTCATTGCATAGTATGCTAAATAAACTATAAAGCCTTATGATGCAAATTAAAAAAATCTCTTGATTATAAACGAGATTTAGTTTTGACAATTACTAAATCAAAGAAGTTTAATTACTATAAAAAATAAATTCTTAAAAAACACATGTGTATATTTTGTAAAATATTTGTACATGTACAATGTTTTATTTTAAAACTATTTACATAATTCAAATCAATTACATTAAGAAATAATATTAACGCACATTCAATATTTTCATTACATAAAATAAAGAGAGAAGAAGACTACTTCTATAACTTTTATAAATGATAATAATGACATTATATTACAACATCATTTATAATAAAATAATAATTTATACGATGAACAAGAATAAGTAAAATTGTTATTTTTCTTACGTCAAGGAATAAATATATATACTAAAATCAAATTTATATTACTATAAAGTTGTTAGCGGGATAATATATTAATTAATTTACGGACTAGCACTAACAAATCAGGTTTAACATCCCGACTAAAAAATGACGCTGATGAAAAAAGGTGAAAAATAGATGATCCTATTATTTTTTAGGCATTAACGGACAAGCCCTATGAAAGTGACTCATTTAATATCTCTGTCCCGTGCATCGCACGAGCTACGCACTAGTTTTGCTTTAATATCTTAATTCATATTTACTGTAAATCGCAATTCATTGTGTTCTTTAGAATGAAATATTATATATGGTATTTATTGTAATACTATTTAAAACTAATTAAGCTTGATACGTATATCATTTCAAATAAAATAATGATAAATTTTATTACATATAAATTTTATAGTGATGTAAAATATAGAAAATTATGTCACAAAAAATTAAAACTTGTATACATATTTGAAAAATATATATTGATTGGATCAAATTAATTAGATTAATCCAGGTCATTTGTTTTCTAGTTTGGAATCCCAACTCCGTTCGGTCCCTGTCGAAATCGAACCACCGAGCCATTTGGTCAAAAAGTATGCATGATAGTAATGATTTTATAATTTCTTAACCACCATTACTACGTATTTTAGTCATGTGAAAGTCATGTTGAAGTTTTATAGTACTTATAAGACAAATCGAGCATGAGTCCGGACATATTTGAAAACTTATATATTTTCAATAATTATGCAATTTTTATGTAAATCCACTAAAATAATTATTTATTTCAATCTGTAGACCACATCATTGGATTATTAGAATACTTAACCCTAATTTTATAATTGTTATAATCAACTCAGTTCACATTAATGCAATCCCAGTCTCCACCAATACATACTATTGTATGGACTGCACAGTCCATGATCGGCCCCGCTACACACCCAAACGCGTCATCACCGTCCAACACTAGACTACTAAATTAGACCGCACTTTTTCCCTAATTATACCACGCATTATCCTTTACTTTCAATTTCAAACTCATGAACAGTAACTATCATCCTTGCTCGCACGCATCTCCCTATATATATAAGCCTGCAGTCATCGTCTTCTTCACCACCTATCACCTCAGTTAAATTATCACACACAGTCCAAAATCCACTTTCCACAGAGCAGTTTTATCTACAATAACTGTAACAATGGCTACTTCTTCAGCCTCTGCAATTCTCAAAGCCAGAGTCTCTTCTCCTTCTCCGGCCAAGCTGACTCCGATCCCTGCTCACAAGATTGTCTCCTTTAGCCCATTCAAAAACCCTCTCCTCTCTCAGACGTTCAAAATCTCCACCACCGCATCCGCCAGAAGATCCTTCTCCTGCAAGAGCCAGGCCGAATCATCAGATTCCAGATCCGGTAAGTTTTTTTAGGAATTAATTAAATGCTTATCCGATCCATCGGTATTTATTATTCAATTATTACTAATTTGATGAATTTTTTATTTTACAGCCAAAGTTCAGGAACTGAGCGTTTATGAAATAAACGAACGGGATCGCGGCAGCCCCGCCTACCTCCGCCTGAGCCAAAAAACCGTCAATTCACTCGGCGATCTAGTCCCTTTCAGCAACAAGGTAACTGAAATATACTTTTATTTATTTATAAACAAATGTCAAAAATTAATTTTAAAAAGGAAAATTAAAAAAAAAACGGGTATATATATTTTTATTCTTTTTTCTTGTGCAGGTTTACACAGGGGACCTGAAAAAGCGTGCAGGGATAACAGCGGGGTTATGCGTGCTGATAAAGAACGAGCCGGAGAAGAAAGGCGACCGTTACGAAGCGATCTACAGCTTCTACTTCGGGGATTACGGCCACATAGCGGTGCAAGGTCCCTATCTCACCTACGAGGACACGTGGCTGGCGGTGACTGGTGGATCCGGCATCTTCGAGGGTGTGTACGGCCAGGTGAAGCTCCAACAGCTCATCTTCCCTTTTAAGCTCTTCTACACCTTCTACCTCAAGGGGATACCGGATTTGCCGGTGGAGCTGCTCGGGGAGGCCGTTCCGCCGTCCCCGGCGGTGGAGCCAACGGCGGCGGCGAAGGCCTGCGAGGAGGGGGCGACTCTGCCCAACTTTACCAATTAGGAGAGAGAAAGTGATGGGCACTGTTTGGTTAATTGGGGAATAAAATTGTACTGTGAGGTAGCATGATAGTGAGATGACCAGTCGTGAAATATTGTTTAGTGATGATAATAATTGAACTTTCTTGGGGAAAATTTGTTCGGGTTGTTTGTTTATTTGTGGGGCTCGTGTTGGAATTTGGAGAAAGGAATGTTTTTGCTTTTTCTGTTTACGTGCCATAGTTGAGGGTAGTTTANAAATATTATGGATAAAAATAAAAACCACGTATTCTTATAATACGTTTGTTTAATTGTTTTTTGAAGAAAAAACGTATTATGATAATACGTTTTAAAATTATATTTGTAAAATATTTTTTTTTAAATAATTGAAAAAACAGTATAAAACGTATTTCAGTAATACGTTTTATAATTAAGAATATTTAATAAATAATTAAGAAATAAAATGTATTATCATAATACGTTTTATAAATAATTAGAAAATAATACGTTTTATATTTTAAAATTAATATGTAGTATGTATTTTGTGTTTTGGGCTTGTTTGGGCTCGTCTGAACTCGGAATTGAGTTCTGTTTTTTTTCTATACGTAGCTAATGAACCCCTCTATTCAATGATGATGCTTGCATAGCCAAATTATTCTTGAAATCATATTTTCCCAAAGCTCTTGACTGATACATTAAACGTGTTTCGCGCGACTTTTCTTTTTGGGCCCGTTCGGACTCGTCCAAGCTCGAAATTGATTTCCGCTTCTTCCTATATGTCGTTAAGGAACCATTCTACACAACCATGATTTCCTGGTCAATTTTCGGGCTAAATCTACTTCTCACGAGCTAAATAATTAACAAATCACCAATTATATAAATAGATGGTCCATGGAGGATTTGTTAATAGGTGATTTGTTAATTATTTAGCCCCGTGAGGAATAGATTTAACCCAAAAATTGACTGGGCAATCATGGTTGTGTAGGCAGGTTCGTTGGCGACATATAGGAAGAAACAGAACTCAACTACGAGCTTGGACGAGTCAGAACGGGCCCAAAAAATAAAGTTGCGCGAAATACGTTTAATGTGTAAGTCAAAAGATTTGAGAGAACATGATTTCAAGAATAATTGGATCATGTATGCATCATTGAATATAGGGGTTCGTTAGCTACGTATAAGAAAAAACGGAACTCAATTCCAAGCTTAGACGAGTCCGAACGAGCGTTGTTGTCGTTCGCGGTCACAACGTCTTCTACCTTCACCAATGTTGGCAGCGGGTTGATGTCTCGCCCTGTGTGACTGTGTACTCTGGGATGGGACGTAGTCCTCCTCGGATAGAACTTGACCGAATGATGGCCTTTGTGTGACCTTTTGGCTTCCAACAGTCAGAGAACTATAGGTAATCTCCCGGATGAGTGCACAGAAGATCAACATATTTGGATGTATAGGGGGTGGATCTTCTGTTGGAACATACGTGAAGTCCACTTGTCTGATAAGGTTCTCCGTCAGTTTGGGTGTCAGCAATCCATCCCCCAAACTCCTATGATTAGTGGTGAACAAGAATGAGAGACACACCACAGAGGCCGTGGAATGACTGGGAGGACATTTGGTGATCGGGCCGCCTTTCATTCACAGCTTACAAAGGGCTGAGTCGATGAAAGAGAACAAATGTCCTCCAAGATGCCCCTGTGGATCACTTTCTACAGGCTGAGTAGGGTTACATTGATTGGTTTTACACTAGGACTGTAAGACGTATCTGTAACCCTACCAAGTACACGGTGATCCAACAAGACGACGATTATAAGACAGTTGCCGAGCGGGAGAAGTGCGATGTAAGTGTTCATAATTTGTGGTTTTTTTATTTTTTTTTTCTTTTTTGGTGTTTCATACTAATTACTTTGAATTTTATTTTCAGACTCAAGCCCTAGAGGGGGTTTATAACTCGTTAGCGAATATTCAAGACATATTTCCTACACTCCCTCCATGGGCGCAGGCCTCATTCCAACAGTCCTACAACATTGCCTATAGTTATCTGACCAACAGTTCTACAACATTGTCTATAGTTTTCTGACTGTTGGAGGCCAAGAGGACACACAAGGAGCGACGTTCAGTCAAGGTCTATCCGAGGAGGACTACGTCCCATCCCAGAAAATACAGTCACAGAGGACAAGGCATCAACCCCCTGCCAACATTGGTGGAGGTAGAAGACGTCGTGACCACGAACGACAACAACGCCCGTTCGAAATTGAGTTTTGTTTTTTCCTATACATAGCTAACGAACCTCTCTATTCAATGATGCATGCATGACCAAATTATTCTTGAAATCATATTCTCCCAAAGCTCTTGACCTACACATTAAACGTGTTTCGCGCGACTTTGCTTTTTGTGCCCGTTCGGACTCGGCCAAGCTCAAAATTGATTTCCACTTCTTCATATATGTGGCCAACGAACCCATCTATACAAACATGATTTCCCGGTTAATTTTCGAGTTAAATCTATTCCTCACGGGGATAAATAATTAACAAGTCACCTATTAACAAATCCTCCATGGACCATCTATTTATATAATGGGTGATTTGTTAATTATTTAGCCAGTGAGGAATAGATTTAGCCCGAAAATTAACCGAGCAATCATGTTTGTGTAGATGGGTTTGTTGGCGACATATAGGAAGAAACAGTAATCAATTTCGAGCTTGGACGAGTCCGAACGGGCCCAAAAAGCAAAGTCGCTCGAAACACGTTTAATGTATCGGTCAAGAGCTTTGGGAGAATATGATTTCAGGTAGAATTTGGCCATGCAAGCATCATGAATAGAGGGGTTCGTTAGCTACGTATAAGAAAAAACGGAACTCAATTCCGAGTTCAGACGAGCTCAAAACACAAAACACATACTATATATTAATTTTTTTATTCATTAATTTTGAAATATAAAACGTATTATCAAAATACATTTTATTTCTTAATTATTTATTATTATGATAATACGTTTTATAAATAACTAAGAAATAAAACGTATTTGCATAATACGTTTTAGTTTTTACATATTTGTTTAGTTCTTAATTATTTGTAAAACGTATAACTAAAATATGTTTTATTTATTAATTTTTTTTTAAAACGTATTCCTGGAATACGTTTTACAAGAATACGTTTTAAAGTAATACGTATTCCGAGAATACGTTTTACACTATAAAACGTATTTTGAGAATACGTTTTTATTTAAAAACGTATTCAAAATACGTGGTTTTGATTTTTGTCCACATGTTTTTAAATTTTTTAGTTTTTGTCCACTTAACTTTTTTTTATTTTTAAATAAATAAATAAATCGTCAAAGTTGATTTTAATTTGGAAATTTATTACCGGGCACGAGACTTTCCATAATTCGTATTAATAAAATTTGAATGTTATATCACAATAAAAGTATTTTAAAAGCTACCACCTACCATTGTAAACAGAAAAAGAAAAAAAAAATAAAAGCTGCTAATGACCTTTTGACCTAGTGGTTGAGAGTGAGGTACCCTTGACATGAGGTCAAGTGTTCAAGTCTCCGGAGCGCAATAGTGGAAAAATTAATACTGAAGACTACAAGCGGCAGTTTGGGAGGTTGAAACTCGGTGGGAATCAGCGGCTGGATAGGTGGGGCCAGCATGAAGTTGGGGGGGCCAACATGAAGCAATCACTTCGGTGGGACCCTGCGGCTGGATAGGTGGGGTCAACTTGGAGCTGGGAGGGCCAACGAGCAATCACTTGGAGATCGACTCCTTGTGCGCGGTAGTTGAGAGTATGAAGTTGGGAGCTATTATGTGGCTACCCTAGTTTAACTGGAGGCAGTTTCTGAGGAGTCGGGAGCTGTTTCCTCGAGGATTAATCAGGCGCNTACCAATTTTTTGTCTTCCTTTGGTTTCCAACACGTATATATATTTTTTTTAAGTTTAAATTAAAACGAAGACAAGTCACAAAATGCATATTTCAATTGAAATTGAATACGTTTATTTGTATTTTCATATTATGACAGTTTGGTTTAGTATGATAAAAATATATATAATATAATCGACTAACAATTAATCGACCTAACTCCTGCTCTATTGTTTTCTTAAAATGGTCCATACATAAAAAAGTGGTGACCAATTTTTAATGGTTTTTACATCATTTACAACATTTTCCACTATCTTGTTGCTATTCGCACTAAAATGCACATCAAACTTCAAATTCATGTTCAAGGATTCTAATCTTTTTTGTTTTGTTTTTTCAAAAATAAGAAATTAAATATTCTTTGTAATTTCTATTAAAAAATAAATTATTAGACACAATACACGTGATGAAGAACTGCGAGATCTCATCCATTAGTTGACATGATCCTGCAAGTTTTGTTCGTACATACAAAAGAGATTAAATTCTTAGTATATTTATTGTTGTTTAAGACTTTTAGTTGCAACTTGCAAGTAGGAGTTGAATAACGTGAAAAACATGTGTTGGGTTTAAGAAAGTGCAAATTAAAAACATGTGGTTTGTGGTTTGGAGGACTTTAGTGATATTATGTCCAATCAAGACAAGAGACGGGTAAGCAGAGGGAGAGTAATAGCTTTAAGTGTTTTCAAGACTTTGTCACGACTCTAGTGTGGAGGAAACTAGGATTAATGGGCATGTTTCCAGTTGGTCAAACAATAGACAAAGAACCATGTTTAATGGGCATGTTTCCAGTTGGGATTAGTGGAATAGGTGTAAAAACTTGAAATTCAGGTTTTTAAAGATGAGGAAATTTTCTGGAGTAAAAACACTAGAGTTTTGTGGCTGAAAAATGGAGACATAACACTATATACTTTCAAGCTAGTGTTAGACAAAAGAGATGTAGGAACAACTTAGAAAATATAATCAAGGCAAATGGTGCTAAGTGTAAAAACAACCATGAGACTTTGCAAAAGGTGTTGAATTACTTTAAAGATTTGTTTAAATCATCTAACCCTAATGTTTATAGTTATATCCTTGATGGTATTCCAAGATCTAACAGATAAGATGAACCAGAACTTAGTGAAGGAAGTGAGTGAAAGTGAAATCAAAGAAGCTCTCATGGGAATGGAAAAACAAAAAGCTCTGGGTAAAGATGGTATGACTGT